CCTGGGCAGGGAGCCGCCCGGCCTGCGACGGGCACCGCGACGCGGAGCACGGTGCCTTCGAGGACCCCCACGTGCCCGTCCACGTGCGATGTGAAAGAAGGAACTCTAAAGTGGAAGTTATAGAGCTGCAAGATGTTGAATGTGAAGAAAGGAGCCCTGGCAACAGCTTAGAGTGAGGTAGGTCTGTGTCCCGTAGGCAGTAGCTTTGTCTCGGGCATGGAGTGATGGAAAAAAAGAGCAAAGATCAGTGCCCTTCCTTCAGTTTGGCTTCCTTCTCAGTCGCTGATCGTCTGGCAGCTGATGACATTTTCACACGAAAAATTAGGTTGGATAGGATAGTATTTGAAATATCTTTTTACTGTACTCCTGTACAAACAGCTGCCTCAAAGAGCGTTGCAGAATGGGCACGTTCATGTTTCAGTCCCTGTCTGCTGGCTGAGGAAAATGAAGTGTGGCCTGTTAGAAGCTGTGCAATGGCATCTCCCATGGGCTGCTCCGTGCTCTGGCAGAAGCAGGCTGCCTTCTCAAACACCACATATGGTGGTGTACCCTGGTGGGGGCTAAAATGGCCAGCTACGCCAAGAATCATCCTCCTTTGAATACTGTTTCAGTGGGCCGGAGGTCCTTGGAGAAGATGGGCTCCCTCCCTGGCCGGGAGCCAGGCGTGCGGGGCGGTGGCCAGAGGGCCCCGCGGCAGGGGGTACCTCACCTCGTGTGGGGCCCCTCGCGTGGGACACCCTGCCCCACAGCTGCCAGCGCGGAGGGGCCGCCGGGTCCCGCACGGGCTCCCCTGCGTCGGGGCCCTCCTGGCAGGACGCCCGGGGCGTTCCCGTGAAACGGCATCCTGCCGGCTCACCCGGGAATCGCTGCGACTCAAACCTACAGGCATGGCAGCAGCGCTGTTCAGGACAGGCAGGGTGGTTGGGGAAGAATAAGGCTGTTTTCCTCAAAATTTTCCATTAATTCTTTCAGGATTCCTTTGAAGGGGAGATGCAAACTGAGTTTTTACCAGGGACTTTAGTTGGAAAGCAGATTCTCACCATTTTAACTTCTTTTTTTCATCTTCTTGGAAAGAAAAAAATACATTAAAAATAGTATCAAGTACCTGTTTTTTCTCTTTCCTTTGCTTTGCAAAGACAGCGCTACTTTGACTAAAGCAAGTCATTTTACTTTGGTTGCACAAATACTTCATACTAAATGTGCACACGCACACATGTGCCATGCACAAAATACTGGTGAAAAATTTTTAATAACTCAGGTAAAAATCACCCTCTGGTTTATAAAGCCCCTCTGCAAATATCACAAAGTGTGAATAGATGTGAATGCATTTATCCTTACAGTCTGCGAGTATGGTAAGCAGTAGTATCTTCAGAATAAGGAAATAATCAGGCTCGGAATTTCCAAGCTGAATAGCTACGAGGAGGTCTTAACTGTGCCCAGTATCAGATGCTTCTTTTTTTTTTTTTTTTTCCTTGAGAAATCTATGGTTTTCATTGATTTTGTAGCAAGTATCTAAATCTGGGCATTCAGAAAACAGGGCATCTGCGTTTTTCTAATTGGCATATTTCTTTACCAGAAGTCAGTGACTGAGATAAAAAAGAGCCCACATTTCCTGACTGCTCACTGTAACCGCAGGAATCATGGAAAGAGTTTTGGATTAGCTTGATTTGTTTTTCTTGAATTTCAAGGAATGTTTGTGTTTTTTTTTCGTTTTGCTTGTAAAGGATAATAACTGAAGCAAAGAAGAGGCCAAAGATGGAAAACTGTATTTCCAGAACTGCTTGAAGAGAACTGCTTGAAGTTGTGGAAAAGGACATGCTGCATCAGGACAACAGTTCACTGTTACTGTAACCTATTGTATTATTTTGTTAAATATTTCTATAAATATTTAAAAGATGTACACATATGTAATATACAAAAAAAAACCAATGTAAAGTAGTATAATCTGGAGTCACTTAACTCCAGTTAGTGGGGATTGTTTGTGCTCTGTACTTACTGTACATCTATCTCTGTGCCACAACTAAGCTTAATCTAGTTCTAAATTTCAGCATAAGTTGCTGCTGCTTAAATATTTTATAATTCACTTGTATAATTCTATGCAAATATTGCTTATGTAATAGGATTTTTGTTGTTGTAAAGGTACATGTCTGTTTAAAATATTT